CCATATCAACAGTGAAAAAGTCATATCATATCAAGACAACTTTCAAACTTCTTGGTCAAGATGTTAAGTTTATATGCTATTATTATNTTTATAAACAACATATATAATGCTAATTAAAAATATGAATGAATCAAAAGATCATTTTGAAATGAAATCAGTTTCATTAAAGTTTACAAACTTAATAATAGTGAGATTGCAGACAAAGTTTTCATCTCTAAAACATGAACGCCAAACGTCGAGTGCTGCTAACAAGATGTGCTCAACATTCATGTTTCAGAGATAAAAACTTTGGCTGCAACCTTGCTAATATCTAAAAATTGCATAAAGTATTATTAATTAGGCTGTTTTTATTATCCTATTTTTCATGTTTCAATTCAAATTTGACAATAAGTTCTAGGAAAAATTTATATAAAACATTATGAAAGAATGCAAGAATTGTTTCATAAAAATTCCATTTGTTATTCATATTATTAATTTATTAAAAATAAAACAAATGTTCAAATAAACACATGTTACAAGATAACCATTTCTAATGAATGCAATCACTTTGACAATCTTTTTATTATATAGTATACATTAAAGACCCAATATACAATAGTTATCTTATAACACACATTCATCTGAATATTTATTTTTATTGAATTAATTTTGATTAATTTGCTACCTTCATTTTCAACTGATACTATTTTAAACTTTCTTAAATATATTAAAAAATGCTTCTGTAACAATGAATAAAGTTGTTATATGTTTTTATGTTAATAAAATCATAAATAAGCTATTTTACAAATAAAATTAAAAATTAAAAAATGTAAAATATTGATATAATATATTTCAAAATATTATATAGGTAGTAAACTGCTAGAGTTATAAATCAATAGTATCATTCTGTATAAAGCAAACAATTTAGCATAAAGCAATAAAGCATCTTCTTAGCATATTCATAGCTGTCTGTACCTAATGAAAATTTAAAAATTAAATTTACTGTATACGATATAATGTATTAATATATATATATATANTGAGAAAAGACATTGAAAGACTCATTATTGTGTAGTCTTAAACTGTATATTAACTTTTATGTTCTTTCTAAACATATAATACCTTGTGTGAGTGAAGAACTTTAAAGTCTAAAACACATTATAATCATATTGAATACACAATTTTATAATTACAAGCTGACACTTGTGATCCATTAATAATTATAAATTATTAATGGATAACAAATGAAGCTTGATTTGGCTTGAGAATTATTGTTGCAGTTCTGTTGCAGGAGGTTGCAAAACATGTTTTCATAGTCTATCAAGGACTGGATGTATTCACAGAAAATACAAATGATAATATTTGATGTTCTGAATACTCATACAAGCACTGCCAAAAAAGCATTATGATCAAGTGTGTATGTGTTAATTTGCAACCCACATTCTTTACTTCCAGTTTGTTTCACCAGAGTGATAAAAATATTGCTGTATGGCAAAGTTTGTCCTATATAGCAGATCCTGGTTGCATGATGACTGGGCTCATCAGAATCCACCAGCAGTTATCACTAATAAACTTTGTGCATTTGTAGAGACTGCATGACATAATGCATGATATTCCATAAATGCACATTAAACATCTCTTCCAGTTCATGCCAAAGCAGTTATTTCTGCCAATGGTGAAAACACTAAATACTGATTATTGTGCATTCTGCATATTCACTGAATTGTACATTTCTAATCATGTACATCAAGTATTATAAGTAATCTGCCTTAAAAATATCATTTTGATATCTCTGTCTTCCTTTATGTTGCAATTTTAATAGCCAGCAGTGTACATTGGTATGTATATGATGTGTGTGTGTTTGTGTGTATATATATATATATATATATATACAAATATACAATGTAGTATATGATAATATATAATATAGTTATATTATTATTGAAATATATATTTATTTATTCAAGAAATAAATAATAATGAACAGTAAAATAAAAATTTTATTTACTAAAGAAATTAATATCATTTTGTGGATGCATCCAGTCAGCAAGCAATTTGCTAGCTTTGCTTGCACTAACTTCAATCATGTTTTGTTGCTCAGCTGGATGGCAATCTTTGCTTAACAAAATGGCTAACAAATATAAAGAATTAATATCAGCAGCGTTTGGTGAATTGATAAATGATACTGTCAAATTATTATTAATAAAACAAATTCAAAATTGTCAGGAGTACCCTCAATTAAACATCGTGGTAGTATAAAATGTATGAGGAGTGTCTTCATACATTTTATACTACCACAATGTTTAATTGAGTTGAAACAGCAAAAGTACAAACCACTAACTTTGCTACATAGCAAATTTGGCAAAATAATGTTATTTCTATAACTGTATGTTCAACTAGAAGATTTGCTTAGTATCACTTACTTAGTTGCTTGAAAACTAGAAGCACCCCATAACTTAAGTCTGTACAAAGTATATCATAAATTCAGTTGATTCAAAACGAAAACAGTTATATTACTAAATATAATTTCAAGTTAAAAGATATTGTTTTAAAAAAAATATGTAGAAAAGATTAAAGTGTCTTGATTTTTGCCATATCAAATCACCAGAAACAACAGTCTTCCATTGAAGAAATGACCTGTTATCAGAGGCTATGCCTCTTTATAAATTGTTTTTGCATATTTTGCAGAAGCATAACCTCTAATAAAAGGTTGTCTCTTCAATGGAAGACTGTTGTTTCTGGTGATTTGATATGACAGAAATCAAGATATTTTAGTCTTTTCTACATATTTTGTGTGTGTAAATTCTTCAGCCATTTCTTTTAAAAAGAAATATTGATTTAATGTTTTTATAATTATTTCTAATTGTTATTTTTTGCCTAAATTAAACTTTGGTTAATAAATACACACAAACTCTTTCATTTTAAGTTTTGTTTTCAAAAATATTAATACATAAAAGTATATACATACATACATCTCAAAGCTTAATAATTACATTATAGCTAAATGATCAACAATCATTTTGCTTTAATATAATTATCTGAGCTTTGAGATATATATATATANATTAAATTTAATAAAGATTGCACCTAACACCTACCTCTAGTATCAAATTACTCAGTATTTAATTATTAATAGTAGCAATAATGTAGCCCTATTTAAACCAATAATCATCTGGCTTTAAAAAATGTGTTTAGTATGTCATAAATAGATAACACAATATAAGATATATCTATGATATATGTAGATATCAATATCATCTTATTATATTGGTCTGAAATCTAAGCTGAAATGAAGCTAAGATCACAAAAACTGGCTTATAATTTAAATAGTATCAATTAAAACAGAGTTATCAAATTTTGAAATATTTCCATAGCAACTAACATAAAAATAAATTAAAAAACTAAACAATTTGCAAAAATCACAATATGTAACTATAAAAATTTATTACTTCCAACATTTAAATAAAAGTGTTTTAGTTTTATCTAACACACACTAAAGTTTTTACAAATTCTACTTTGTATTCTACTTTGTCAAAATTCTACTAATATTCTACTTTATTACAAAATTGGAATAAAAAATATCTCTATATTTATCAGAAATGCATTTCACTAAACTGCCATGAATATTAAACAACATAATTATTTATAAAGTAGAATATTATGCATTATATGATTCATAACAAACGATAGTTTAACACTTGTAAAGAAAGTTATATGAGAGATATTTTTTGGATTACTTCTTAACAACATATAGTAGTTTTTTAGAAATGATCAACAGACTGGCTTCAGTAACTGACAACACTAAAAACAGTGCTCTTGATATCAAACTTTTTTTAGCTACTGAAGAGAGTTTATTGGCCAATCCCAAAAAGCTGTTTATTATATGTTCTTTGTGGATCCATAATAAAAAAAAAAAGAAATTGAGAAACATTAAGATTTTGAAAGCATAAATGAAAATATATGATTGAGAACAATTTTGCTACCAGAAATAACAACTAAAATATTTTACACGATAATATAAAAAATAATTTCTATAAAAATATAAACTGATAATTTTCATTTCTTCTAATTTCATTTGAAGATCATAAAAAGTTTCAACTTTTTATGAGCTATAATTTTCTATTATTAAACAAAAAAATTTTTGCTCTCTTTTTATTTTAAAAATTATACAAATTAAATTTCAGAATCTTGATGTTGATGACAACATCAACACTCAAGAAAAAATAGAAAAAAAATTCTGAGAAATTTTTAAAATTTTCCAAAAAGTCTTTCACTTTCAGCCACCACTAACATCACAGATTCATTAAATTTCTCAATATTTAGTCATTTTTAAATCATAAAATAATTTCTACAACATGCTGAGCCAATTCAAAACTATGATTTTGAATATGAAAACAATATATCAGTGCAAATCTTTAAAACTCAATAAGCAAACACTACATTAACAGAATATATGAATATGAAGACTTTAGTGGATATCATTTCAAAAATTAATTATATATTAAATTAAAAATAAAAAAATAGAAATCACCAAATGTTTACCATCAAGTATAAAAATAACATAAGATAATAAAGAAATTGTTAAACATAATGATATTTATATTTTATAAAGTTTTAGTTATTGTTATAATAGATCTTAAGTCTTACTTCACAATAATAACAACTTTTAGTTCATAATAACAGTCAGATTTTTAAATAATTTCTCCAAAATAGAAATTTCCTAGAAATGATTATCTTAGAATCATCATTCTTAAATATATCAAATAAGAATTTGTGAAAACATTAAATTCTTTAAATTTATAGCTTTGAATCAACTGCATTTATATGTGATTTAATCTAAGAANAAACATTAAGATTTTGAAAGCATAAATGAAAATATATGGGATTAAATAAAACTTAAAAAGCAATTTTAAGCAAACTAAATAAACATAAAGGGAAAAAGCAGCAGAAGAGCTAAATAGTTAGTTTTTTTTTTTTTTTTGAAAACTTCCTTGAAACTATAAAATATTGAATTTATATACCTTTATACAAAATTGGATGTGACTGTCTAAAAAATACAAGAGCTGGAAATTTTGTAACAGAAGCTTTCTTCTTAGCAAAGTTTGTATCATCAGTTGTCACAAATAAAATTCCATGTTTATCAGTATCATCATCTATATTCTCAAGTTCTTGAAGAATTGATTCACAGTTTTTACAGTCATTTGGAGCTATTGAAAAATTTTTCAATATTAAAATTAATATCTGGAAAAAAGATATATAAAAATAAGAAATATAATGCACTTGTTAATTTGAACCTGTGCTAATCTGCACTGTGTTTATTCTGCAATTTTGTTCATACTTTTACTATTTGAACCAAAATTAATGATCAATTTTATAGGATTTTGAAGTATATTTAATAATAACAAATGTGAATAAATAAGCAAAATTATATAAGTTTTATAATGATTTTTCTACATTTGTTTTTATGAGAGTTTTGGCTTTTAATAAAACAATATATAAAATCAATGAAAACCATTCCTAGTTGTTCATACATGGCAACTTAAAAGTAAAATTAAATTTTTCTTAAATTAAATTCAATTCAAAACAAGCAATTATTTATTGTGATTGATTTATCGTCACAATACTGGGCTGTAATTTTTAATCATATTTTTAATTTACTTAATTTACAATATATGCTCTCCACCTCAAATTAGTAGTGGCTTGCCCCTGTACATCATACTTTTCCTTTAACAATAGAGTCATGCCGATCATCTATCTAACACTTTTCAGGAGAAAATTTCTGAACTGAAAAAACATGATTTCCAGTTTGCATCGAAAATTCATATATAGTTATAGTTTTTGTTTTTTGCCTTTAATTTCATTAAACATTTCTGCTAACTTAAACCAGTTATTTATGTTAGGGCTTATCACACCATGATCTTAGTCCTATGCCATTCAGATGGCATGGTGATATTACAAATTGACGGCTTTAATTGTATTTTTTCACTGATCACTGTGTTGTGCCATTTGGATGGCTTCATACATTGTATGTCCTGTAATCATCATTACTTAATTTGCCCACCTAATCCGACATCTGCCTCTAGGGCGTTTGCCATTGATCTTCCCTTCTAGAATTTGTTTCTCAAATCCATTTTTGCATCTGGAAATATGTCCCAAGAAGCAAAGGTAGAATTGGTATATTTTAGTGGTAAGGCATGTTGTGATTTTCAGTTGATTTAGGATGGAGTAATTTGTTCGGTGCTCCATCCAAGAGATTCTCAGCATTCTTCTATATGTCCATATTTCAAAAAAATCAAATTTTTTTTGAGAAGTGGCATTTATGGTCCAGGTTTCTGAGGTATAAGTGGCAATTGGAAAAATAAGCATTTTTATGAGCTTTAGTTTATTAATAGTGATTGCAGAATCTTTCCAAATTCTAAATAACTTAGAGGTTGCATTATGAGCAAGGCAAATTCTGCATTTAATTTCATTATTGCATCCTCCTTTACCTTGGATCACTTCTTACAAATAAACAAATTCATTCATCACCTTATAGCCTGCAATTTCCTTAGTCTGTGTCAAGGAATGATCAATTATCATAACTTTCATTTTACTTCCATTAATCAGCAATCCATATTACCTGCTCTCAGTTTCAAGACTTTTCATAATATATTCAAGTTTTGATTCACTGGATGCTATAATAAGTGTATTGTCAGTGTATCTCAGGTTGTTAACTTTATGGTCCCCGATGGAAATGCCTCCGTCCCAGTTATCTAATACCCTTCTCATGACTATTTCAGAACAAACATTAAAGAGTAAAGGGGAAAGAATACATCCCTGTCTTACACCAGCTTCAGATGTAAATGCATTAGATATAGTTTTGTTAACTCTTACTCTTGCAGAGTTGTTCTCTATAAATTTCTGATCATCAAAATAAGATCATGGTACTCCCATGTTCTGGAGAGCAGGCCACAATTTGCGCCATTTTACACAATCAAAGGTTTTGGTATAGTCTACAAAAGAAAGGTAAGCTTTGACATTAAATTCATAGGTTTTTTTCAATGATTTGTCAAGTGTTCAAGATTTGTTCAAGAGTTCCTTTACCAGAGATAAACTCCAACTGTTCTTCAGCTATTTCAGGTAATAGGAAGGGTTTCAAACAATTATTAATCATTTGGAACATTACTTTACTGGCATGGTTAATTAGGCTGATAGTTCTGAAGTTACTACAATCTGTTGGTACAGCACCTTTTTTTTATAAATTGGAATAAATATTGATTTACACCATTCCTCTGGCCATCTCTCAGATTTCCAAATTAAGGAGTAGATTTTATGAAATATATCAACCAGTTCTCCCATTCCATTTAAAATTTCAGAGGTTATGTTGTCAGGTCCTGGAGCTTTGTGGTTTCTTAATGTATTTATATCTTTTTCAACCTCTGATTTAAGAATAGATGCTTCAACTTCCCCTGTCCATTCATGCTGAAGTTGATTATTACCATTTGTTTGTCCAGTGTCTTTATAAAGTTTCTCACAATACTGATTATTATTTGCATGGACTTCAATTTAATTGCATATACTGTGAATATAATCATTTTTGTCTTTGTTACAAACCTTTTTGATTTTTTTGTCTAGCTCTTTCTTCTTTTCATCTGTAACGATTGCTGAAGTTAGTAATTTTTTCCTTTCATCTATTAATTCAAGAGTATTATTTCTCATCCAATGTTTCTTTTTCTGTGATCAATGTTGTGTGGTGCATTGTTGTACTCCAGTTAAAATCCAACTTTTTGTTTGTGTCCATAAATCATCTAGGTTGTTTGAAAAGGATGGAGAGTTAAATTTCGGAGAGTCTGTTGTAAGATTGAACTAGTTGGACTCTCAAATCTTGGGTTGATCTTAGATATTTTTGTTGTATGGAGTTTTAATGTTACTTCCACTTTTAGTAGCTTATGATCAGAGTTGCAGAATGTTCCAGGTCTTGGATCTCACCTGTCAGGGAGATCCAAGTAGAAAGATGCTGATAATGGTGTTTGAACATGGTGTTAGTTATTGTAAAACTGTTATCGATTGCAAACTGAAGGAGTCTATTTCCTCTCTCATTTCTGATGTCCAGTCCAAATTGTCCTATAATGCACCGTAGATTATCATAATTTTTTGTATTGTCTATCTTAGCATTAAAATCTCCCATTATTATCAATATGTCCTTCTGTAGTATTTTTGCAATGATATTTTTAATTTGTGTGTAGACTGTGTACACTTCATTGTCTGAAGCAGCCAAAGTGGGCATATAAACCTGAATAATATGAAGTTTTACTGGCCTGGAAGATATTATAATTTTGATTATGTGGTCATTGATAGGTTCATAGCCTTCCACAAATTTTGTTAGGCATTTATCAATAACAAAGGCCACTCCATTACGTCCATTTTTGGTCATACCTGAAACATATATTGTGTGGTCAATTGTATCAAAATGACCATTCTCTCTCCAATGTGTTTTGGAGATGCCACAAATCGGTATATTCTCTTGATTAAGTTCTCTTTCTATTATGTAGTGCTTTCCAGTCTGTAAAAGTCCTCTTACATTCCAAGTACTTAAGGATAAATTTCTTCTTAGATGTAATTTTAAATTTCTTTCAGATACATATTTTGCCTGTGGTGCCTGGTTGCCTACATCTACATGTCCGGTAGCCCATTTCACACCAAATGACCCAGAATCAGTTTGGTGCCGGTTGCTGACCAGATCGTCATGCATATCATCAATACCACCACCACCACCACCACCATCATATTCTCATGGGAAAATAATCATGTAGTTTCCCATTGCCTGCCTGATCCGTTGCTAATAGCTATTTCGTAAAAATTTAAATCACACTAGTGAATATGAACACAAAAATTTCTTGAATTAAAATATATAAAATACACTCAAAATGCATTTCAGACTCTAAAATAGTTCCTCTTCAGTTGGTGTTTCAAATAATCTGTATATTTGTTCATTTAAATTATGTATATTATATTCAAAAATACATTGGTATTAAAAGAATAATATAGGCATATTATTCTTTTAATACCAATGTAATGTTTTTTGCCTTTTGCCCTTAATTTCATTAAACGTTTCTACTAACTTAAACCAGTTATTTGTGTTTGTTTAATTGAAACACCAACTGAAGGGTAACTATTTTAGAGTCCAAAATGCATTTTGATATATTTTAATTTAAAAAATTTTTGTGTTCATATTCACTGATGTGATAAGCCCTAAAATAAATAACTGGTTTAAGTCAGTAGAAATGTAAAATAGTTATAGTTCGTATATAGTTATAGTATATGGTTGAAGCCTTTGCCTGAGGTTTCCATATCTGGTCTCATCTTTCATCTATCTAACTCTGTTCTTGAGATTAGGGAGAGACAAATAGATGGACAACAAGTGGAATTTAAAGGTTTACAATTTTTCAAATTGCAGCCCAATAAAATTTTGTATTCAAATTAATAAGTATCAGATCTTTCTGATGTAAGACTTGTTTAGTTTGACTTTATTTTCTTTATACATAACACCACTAATCTGAACAACCACATACAATAATTAGTTCAGATTAGCAAGAGTGCATTATACTTTTAACAAAATTTATATCATTCAAAATAAGTAAAAAAATATGGTACAATCTAAAGAAATAATTCTAATCAGTTTTTCAAAATATGTTATTGTATTACATAATTATTTTACATATAATCAGTAAACTGATTTGTAATAAATTTCTTAAATGTGTAATGAAATAATAAAAATAAAGCAAATAATAACATGAATAAAAATAATTTTGTATTCTATATCAGGTTTCTCAGAAATTACACTTTCCAATTCTGAATTCAAAAAATAACAAGACTAGTTTGCAAAATACAGTATAAGTTTATTCATTAAAATATATTTTAAGGAATGTTAAATATAATAAAATTTAAAGTATAACAACTGAAATAAAAAAGTAATTAAAATTCTTAAATATTTTGATAATTTCTTACCAAAAAATACAAGTACATATTGTTTTTCTTCAATAAGTTCTTCTAACATTTCTTCTGTAACTTCTTCTATAGTATCTTCTTCTTTTTGTAATATTAACCAAGTCATAACTTCTTCCTCATTTTTAAGATCTCCTGTTAAAAAAAAAATGCTTAATATATTTCATAACATTTACCTGAAAATGTTTAATCAATGGAGCAGCTCTATTTTCAGATTTATTCATCTAATTTGTCAAATTAATATATAATATGAGAAAAAAATGCTTAATAATTGTTATCAATTAATAAACAATTTTTCTCATATTATATATTAATATTTATAAGTTTATGTATATTAGTATTATATATTTATTTATAAGTTTATTTTATTTTTTTTATAAACTGATAACAATTGATAAAAATAAAGTAAACCTATAAAAAAATAGTACAATAAAATAAGATATTTAAGCAGTTCTGATGTTATTTAATTTATTAATGTAAATGTAAACAACATTACTGGTAATAAAGAATCTTGCACAAAATATTAGAAAATAGAGATTTGTTATATGTTCTGTAAAATATTTGCTAGTCAACATAAAGTGGATAGATACAGAAGAAATGTGTACCAGCAAGTTTAGCAAAAGCTATATTTTACAAACAATGATTTATTTTTGAATACTGTATTCTAACATCTACAATGCATTTTAATATATGAATACTTAAAATATAGATACACAGATCACAGGTATGTGCTGTTATAAAAATTTTTTAAATTAAAAAATTTATTTTTTTAATTTATTAAATAAAAAGTTTCTATTTCAAATCAAACTGATCCTCTTCTCTCATGTTGCATTTTTATAAAAACATAAATTTTTCAATATAGTACAATAAAATTAAGAATTTAGTTATCTTTTGTTATATATTGTTTATGGTATGTATTTTAATAGTTTAAATACTTTATATTTTAATGACATTAATGATTGTCAGTTCTACTTTATACTAAAGAAACAACTGATTACTATTCAGTTCAGTATTACTTTAATCAAAGTATAAAATATGACTTGTCATAATTCATTTAAAGGCTGCATAATAACAGTGCAGTAGCACCAATTTTAAAACTTTATTGCTATATTTTATATTTATTGAAACAGTTTGAAGTTTTACATCTTCTCACAATATTACTCTGAAATAAAGTCAAAAAGAATATTAAACATAACATCACTACATTATTTTTTATTGAGGCAGAACAAAGCTACAATGCTTACAAAATTGCATTCAATCTCAAAACTTGATCAATTTATTTTAATTCAATTTATCATTAATTGTGATGAGGAATACAAAAATGTAATAAAGAAATGGAGATCCACGACTTCATTTTTGCGATGCAAGGTTGTAGTATGAGTACATGCACTAAAGTGATATCACATGACCTGCGCAATTTTGTCAGGCAATGTCCCAAGGTTGCTACCACATCTTATAAAATTCAGTTTGTTCTCAAAATCTGGCAGGTCAATTTTGATAAAACCTTGCCATTTTGCATTAGTTGCAATGAATTTTGCACTCACTCATGACCAGTAAGTGCAATGATAGCTTCTTTCATAGTGCAAGTGCAAGGATTTCTTCTTTATTTCTGGCTCTGTCTCAATTCTATCATGATACTACAGTTGCATGATGTCCTAATATTTATACATATACATATAATTTTAACAGCTTATATAAAGTTAACTGAAAATCAATTGAAGATCTCTGATAAAAGCACAGAATGCCAGGAACATCAAACCACAAAAATTTAAAAATTTTTACAATCCATCAAATTTAATTTTTGGAAAAACAAATATTTCTGGCTAATTTACTAGCCATCTTCAGGTTCATGTAATGACAGGATAAAGTATTAACCAAAAACAATTTTAAGAAGTAAACTATCTTATAAGCTTTTAGAAGAAAAAATTTTTTCAATTAATTTAATATTGATACATTAAAATCTGAAAATATGTTATGGAATTATACTTACATATAATTTGAACAATAAAAAATTTCCTTAATAATAAATTTTAGATGAAAATTTTTTTATATAATTATTAAAAAAAATTATACCTTCATATACACTTGGAAGTTGATTTTCAAAGTACAAAAGAATAGGCAATTCATCTTTAACACCAAATTCCTTTGCCATACTATCATCATCAATTTTTACAAATGGAATACCATGACCATCTAAATCATCATCAATGTTTTCTAATTCCTTTAATATTTCTTCACTTTCAGGATTCTTTTTGTCATCTAAAAAACAAAATAAAAAATATGAGTGTTTGCTCTATTTAGAAAACCATTATATTGATAATATTTTTACATTTTTACAATTGTAATTGAATCTTGAAATTGATCTAAATGAATTCAGTATAACAACATATCATATATTAAAAAATATTTACTAAAACATTTTAAAAATATTGTTTATCATCATAATTTTCATTTTTTAATCATCATAATGATGAACTTTATCATAATTTTATCATGGTAATTTCATTATCATTTGTTTTTCTTACTATTATTTTGAATCCAGAAAAAACTACCTATTCTGAGTAGATTATATTCATTTCCTAATAAGATCACTTAGAGCAAAGCACATTTCTTTACACTCAAAAACCTTTGGATTTAAATAAACTACTGTGAAACCACTTGACCAATCTCAACCAAATTTAGCATGAACATCAAGTCCAGGTTGGTGAATATTGTAAGCTATTTGGAATGCTGAGCAGATTGTGTCCTGAAGAATGTTATGAGAAAGCTCTGCCATAGACTTAAGCTGGGATTTTGTATGCTTATAAAGTGCATGCAGTAGTTCAGTTCTGTTTACAAGCATAAACAAATACAGTTGACCCCCCTATAATTACGGTCCCTATAATTACGATTCCTATAAAACTATGAAAAAATTGTGACCAGTATCCGTAAAAAACAGTAAAAACCCCCTATAATTATCTCAAACATCATCGGGCAGCCGAACTACTTTCCACGGCGGGAAAGTAGTTCGGCTGCCCGATGACGTTTGAGGTAATTATAGGGGGTTTTTACTGTTTTTTACGGATACTGGTCACAATTTTTTCATAGTTTTATAGGAATCGTAATTATAGGGACCGTAATTATAGGGGGGTCAACTGTATTTGTTTATGCTTGTAAACAGAACTGAACTACTGCATGCACTTTATAAGCATACAAAATCCCAGCTTAAGTCTATGGCAGAGCTTTCTCATAACATTCTTCAGGACACAATCTGCTCAGCATTCCAAATAGCTTACAATATTCACCAACCTGGACTTGATGTTCATGCTAAATTTGGTTGAGATTGGTCAAGTGGTTTCACAGTAGTTTATTTAAATCCAAAGGTTTTTGAGTGTAAAGAAATGTGCTTTGCTCTAAGTGATCTTATTAGGAAATGAATATAATCTACTCAGAATAGGTAGTTTTTTCTGGATTCAAAATAATAGTAAGAAAAACAAATGATAATGAAATTACCATGATAAAATTATGATAAAGTTCATCATTATGATGATTAAAAAATGAAAATTATGATGATAAACAATATTTTTAAAATGTTTTAGTAAATATTTTTTAATATNTTTATAGCGTAGTTTATACGGATTATTTCCAAAAAAAATATACGTATTTTGGAAATGTTGAGTCGGATTAGTCTAGAATCGATTAATTTTATGGAAGAAAACCTTTCAATCAGCCGTAGTCCGTAAACTTGACACGTGTCGGACTGTGATTGGAACGACTCGTAAGAAATTGGATTCCTAAAGAATGGAACATATCTATATCTTATAGGGGGGTCGACTGTACACACTCAATTTTTGCTTGACATTCCTAAAGTTTTAACAAATTTAACATGACAACTGAGTCTAAACTCCAGCTTACACTCTGTTTGTATATTCATAAATATTGCTGGCAGCAACACTGAACAAACTCAAAAGCCATTACAAACAAACTAAATTAAGTCATTCTGAAGCAAAGTTTGAAAGGAATAGAGTTTCCAAATTCAGTCACTAAATCAGATATATTGCTTTATTTTGAAATACACTAAATAGTCACTAAAAGATAGGTGAGACTCATTATACCAAATCTAGCAGTGTTTTTGTTACCATTTATTATATTAAACAGTTATTTTAATATGAACCCAATGTAAATAAACTTTATATTTAAGCATAAAACTTATTTAGCTCAATTTGCAGGCATTAAAAACAACAAATGAGATCCTAGTGTGACAAGTGTCGGTACTATATCATAATGTCACATCAGGATAACACCACTATATCTTAAGTGACATATAAATTGTGATAGCAATAGCATTCACACACAAGCGATTGCATATTTAGGCAGTTGGATGTGGGATGGAGGCGATACAAGAGATGGTGTGTTTTAAGGAAGTGCACCAAACACAAGATTAACAATAACAAATACCTGTTTATTTACCATAAGCTATTTACAATTGAAAGATTGAACATTATGGCTATCACCTTTAAATGGAAGTGAACTCGGTTAAAGATACAAGCATATCCTTCCATCTTTTTATTAATTGCTGGGAAAAATTTATATAGTTTTCTTTGCATTTAATATAAATTTTTAAGCATTATTTTTTGGTTTATATAATTGTGCAAAAATTTATAGTTAAATAAAATCCAAGCTCTCACATTAATAATAATAAGATAAAACATTTTCAATTCTGCCAAGGGGATGCCTCCTGGGAGAATTTTTATGGGAAACTGATCCCTATTTAGGTGTTATTAAGGAGATGAAAACCCAGAAAACTCCACATGGCCAGCCCATTGGTAATGCTCTAACCCACAACCAACTACCAGTGTTAGGTGGTTCTATCCACTCAGCCACTGATGGACATTTATTAGAATTAAAAAAGTACCATTCAGAAATGAAAAAACCAGAGTTGTTAGATGTGGAAAATTAAATGCTTTTGTAGTTTTCACAGTGTAACACTTTCAACTGAACATAGGTGAGTGCTCTGTGCTACCAGTGGCAGTAATAATATAATGTGTCTACTTCCTGCTATATCATTGTCATTGTAATTATACTAAATAAATATAATTTTTTTAATTATATCCTTTTTTGCATAATATTTAGTTTATTATTTTTTAAATTTTTTGCCAATAGATGGTGCTAAATATAAAGCCAGAAAATCAAATGTAGTAAAAAATTAATTGATATATACAAATCCAATCAATATTTTGGGATGGTATGTATGACATTATCTAAGTTAGAGAAATATAAACATAACTGCTGCGTTTTGTAGCAATTGGTCAAATGGCCTAAGAGTGCATAGTGAACAAACATTCTCATTTATAGATATAGATAGTGCAATGAAAATGGACAAAATAATAATTGACTTTTATTCTTCATTATGCATCAAGACTGGCTGAAAGGTTGTAATGGAGAAATTTTGATGACTAAGATCATTGCTAATACCAATGCAGTAATCCTCCTCATTGATAACTGACTACATTATACTTGGAATGTTACATGCATTAATAGCATACAATTATTTAAATATAAGAGAAAATATTTAAATACATTCAAACAGCTTTCAAATATAATTTGTTCCTAAAAGTGTTTCAAAAATTGATTTTTTCCAAAAGTGAAACAAATTTTTCATTAAACAAATGCTTATTGGAACTAATTCAATAATTTAAAAATAAACAAACACCTTGAAATTGATCTAAATGAATTCAGTATAACAACATATCATATATTAAAAAATATTTACTAAAACATTTTAAAAATATTGTTTATCATCATAATTTTCATTTTTTAATCATCATAATGATGAACTTTATCATAATTTTATCATGGTAATTTCATTATCATTTGTTTTTCTTACTATTATTTTGAATCCAGAAAAAACTACCTATTCTGAGTAGATTATATTCATTTCCTAATAAGATCACTTAGAGCAAAGCACATTTCTTTACACTCAAAAACCTTTGGATTTAAATAAACTACTGTGAAACCACTTGACCAATCTCAACCAAATTTAGCATGAACATCAAGTCCAGGTTGGTGAATATTGTAAGCTATTTGGAATGCTGAGCAGATTGTGTCCTGAAGAATGTTATGAGAAAGCTCTGCCATAGACTTAAGCTGGGATTTTGTATGCTTATAAAGTGCATGCAGTAGTTCAGTTCTGTTTACAAGCATAAACAAATACAGTCGACCCCCNATGAATTAATGCGGTTTTTATTAATTAATTAATTTGATTTAGATTCAACTGCAGTTTGTACTGAAAAACAGAAATAGTATCTTTTCCTCATGCACATTAAAATTAATTTAAATACTGAAGTTTGACTGTATAATTCAACATTTAAAATTTAAAACTCAATTTGAAATATTTTAAACTCAAATATTATTAACAACATATACAACAACACAATTCTTATTAGTATTGCCAAATGATCCACTGGATTATTTAATTTTTAATTAGAATAAAATTTATTTATAATTATTAAATTTATCATGAAATGGTGGTATAATTGTCTACCTCTAGCTAAACTGCTTTATATCTAATTATTAAATTAGCCTTAATATAGCCCAATAAATAATCAGACAGATCATTTGGCAATCAAATATTATTTTAAATAAGGTAGTTCAAATGTCTATGCATTAAGAAATGATGTAACAGAAAATTAATTAATTAATGAAGACATAAGAAATAAAGGTAACAACAATATTTCAAAGTAATTATCTATAAACATCAGAAGAAGCTGATGAAAGAAAATTGATTTTGGATAATTTTTAGTTTTTTGAAATATAAATACTATTTCTTAATTGTATCTAATATTTATTTAAAATTAGATTTCCCAATGGTTCAATTAATGCTAACTTGCTTACAAATTACAAAAAAAATTTTAAAAAGCAGGCAAATTTACAAAATAAAATTAATTATGAAATTACTAAAAAAAAGTTAAATTATCTTTTGTGCAAAACAATGCTGAAACAATTTCTATAATTATGTTGCAAAAGAAAAAAAGTTCCAAATTAATTAACAAAACTGTAATTAAAGGTTCAAAACATGCACATAAAATTAAATAAATAAATAAATATTATTAAAAATAATTATACAAACTAAATTAATACTAAATAAATNAATTCAAACTTTGGCCTTTAATCAAAACCAAAACTAAAATAAAAAATAAAATTAAAACTAATTAAAATCAAATCAATTAAAAATTAAAACTTTTTAAAAACTGTTTAACAATTGTTTTGAAATTTTCAAATTGTAAATCAAATTAATTTTTAAATTTACTTTATTTGTGTGTAGTGGTGATGGAACATTTTGCTTTTAATATACGAGGGGTGTTCAAAAGTATCGGATCTTTGGTTGGCAAAAATACATTTATTGATTTTGAGGTACAAAACCCTAATTCCATTCAAAGTAGTCTCCTTGGTAATGTATACACTTCTCCCAGAGCTCCTGCCATTGCTGGAAACACTGCTAGAATGCATCTTTTGGAATGGCCATCAGCCAGTCCATCGCATTCAGCATGATGTCTTCTCTTGACTAAAATCGGGTTCCTTTTAGCGGCATTTTCAGCTTGGGAAATAGCCAAAAGTCACACGGAGCCATGTGGGGAGAGTACGGAGCGTGAAAAATCACAGGATGTTGTGTTTGGCGACAAAAGTCTGAATCTGATGCACAGAATGGGCGGGTGTGTTATCATTATGGAGCTGCCAAGTTTTGGTTGACCACAGATCCAATTGTTTGCGTCGCACAGTATCACAAAGATGATGAAGGGCCTTCTGGTAGTACTCCTTTGTGATGGTTTGGCCTTGTGGTGCATACTCAAGATACACCACCCCACGGGAGTCGAAAAAAACTGTCAACATGACCTTGACATTGCTGTGGACCTGCCACGCTTTTTTTGGCCTCGAGGATTGTCCCCGAAAGCCTGATGAATCTTGCTAATGGTTTCTGCTTGGATATCGCCAAGCTTTTGGCAAAATTTGATGCGATATCACTGCTCACGTTGTTCAGTCATTTTCCAACTTAGTGGAATCCGATGAGTGCTCACTACACGTCCTCACTCATAGGCAGGCTGACTGCCAGCGACTGACGCTTCCTGCAGGCGGGAAAAAATTCAGGACTGTGCATGACTGTCCCCTCCACAACTCCACCGAAAGAGACCTCCCGTGCATCATTGGTTTATGCGGGAAAAATAAATGTCCAATACTTTTTGAACACCCTCGTATATACAGATATAAAAACTGAAACTAAATCTCTATGGGTGCATATACATTTGGAATCAAACTGATCCAAGATTACTCTAATCGTTCAAATTCCATATACAGATGAACTATAGCAATCTGATCAATCTGTATCCACATATACAAATGCCATCTAGGATCAACTGGATCACAATCAAATTAATCTAAGTAGAGGGTGAGATAATTTGGATTGGATAAAAAAGATTAAAGATGGCAATCTCCATGATTAAAGTCAAGCTGATAGTTGACAGTGAAGAAATATGTTTAACTGTCGCCAATGAAAAGCATTTAAAACTTAATAAGTGGTAAGTGAAGACATTATTAAAATATCCAATAAACTGAAATGAAAAAATTAAGTGTTAAGAAACAATATTGCAAGATTGTACGGTAAGAATGTATGGCATGCAATCTCCCATTTTGCCATTATAGCAGCGGTTTTATTCATGGAGTAAATATGATTCGATTCTACTTGTACACTTTCCACTAACTAACACACATGATAGAAGTAATCTGTATCACGTGACAAAGACTGATCCAATCTTACAGATCAACCCATCTAAAACAAAAAATATGCACCTTATATCTATATTCTATATATAACCTTTGGTTACATACTGAATATAGAATTATTCAAAATATAGAATATAGAAGTATTCAAAAACCAAACATGAAGAATAGTTGCTATTGGAACAAACAAATAACCATCTCTTCAACTTCAAGTCTGAGTCAAAAGTTCCTCCTATCTCTGCACAAAGACCTTCCTTCCTCTTTGTTAACCCTTTCTACAAATTCATGCTGAGTCCACAGATGAAGTTAACGGATGACCCTTTTGAGGAATGAATTGTAGACCCCACCTGTGACCTGGTGGGACCTTCTTACATGCTGATTGTTTGTATCAATTTCAGTGGAGACAGAACATTTTGCTTTTAATATATATACAGATTTAAAAAGTGTTATAAACATATAAAAAAATATATTCTCTACAGCTGGAACTGCAAAAGGTCAGTGCAATATCCTGTTATAAACATAGTTTTTATATTAGAATTTTTATTTTTCATCATTATAATAAAATAACAATTGTATAAACTAATTATTTTTCTAGTTATTTTATCAAAAAAATTACAAAATTATAGATTATATTTATTATATAACTTCTTAGTAATGTTTTTTTTTTAAACATACTTACAAAATAAGACTGCTAACGTTGGTGTATTTTCAATTAATTGATCTAACATATTTTCAGTCACATCTTCTATTTCTTCATCTGATTTTTGACTAATTAACCAATCTAAAACTTCTTCTTCTTTCATTAAATCACCTATATGTATAAAATTATAATCATATTTTTAAAAATATATTATTCTTATAAACACATAAATTACTAACTGCAAAAGAAGTAAACATTAAAAAGAAAATTAAATAACAAAAACAGCTAAATTTGAAATATAAAATTCACTTAAAATACTAAATTTTTACCTAAATTTAGTCATTTTTGTCACAAAATAGTTGCAGAAGCTTTTATAAATACTAAAAGCTTTTAAGAAAATTCTAAAAAATCAATTAATTGTATCAAATTTGATTTTTCCATTCATGTTATAAAAATATATATGCAGTACAAAATGTTATAAATGTTGTATCAATAAATTGGATATCATATTATTATCATCTTTACATTATATTGATGATACAATAAAAAGATACATTTCTAATTAAAATAATTTAAGACTCCAGTAATTTTTCTTGATTGTTATAAACTACAAAACAAATTTTATTCAGTTAATCTTAGAAAGTTGTTAATGCCAACATAAAGTTCCAAAAAATTCTGATATGAGATAATTTATTAAAAATATCTAGACATAACTTTTTAAAAAATAATTCTAATTTCCATATTCAATTCTTCTACATTTTCATTAAAAACTTAATTTGTTAATAATAATATACAAATTATATCAACAAATCACAAAGGTGTTCTAACATTTCTGATTTTAAAATAAACTATATTATCTTACTTATGCAATGAAACTTTTGCGCGAATATTTGTTACTTAAGAGTTGGAAGTAGAGTTCAAAAATTTGAAATGTTAAAAAAACAAAAAAAACAACTGGACATCACATGGAACACATTAGCAATCTACTTAGGCAGATGCCTCCTGGGAGGACTTTCCATGGTAAACAGGCCTCTATTTAGGTGTTAGAAGTTTGAAAAAACCCCAGAAAACTCCACATGACCTGCTGGTGAGGTGCAAACACACAATAAACTAGCAGTATTCAATGGTTTTATCCACTTGGCCACTGATGGGCCTAAAGAAAAGGTGAATTGCAAGAACTTAACTTTAAGACAACTCATACCTTTAAAATTCTGTTTAAAATGCAGTAAAATTTTTAATCCAAACATTTAACAATATAGAATCTGATAAATAATTTGATAAACTAAAAAATAGTTATCAAGTATTACAAAAATTTAGCACATATTCTTGAATTCTTGTAATGTATCTAATTTATTATTACGCATACATTTTAAACATCTGAAAGTAATAAAATATTAATAAAACAAAATATTTTAAGATAGATAATGGTATGTAATTAAAAACTTTAACTTTTTAATTTTTCTTATATTAATTTCTTGTCTTTAAATTTTTGATATCATTAAGACTGATTTAAAAAATTTATTATTAATAAAACAATTGATAAAATTCTAAACTCAAAATTTTACCAGCTTTAGAACTGGTTATTTAAATTATTCAAAAAAGTTTATTTTCATAGTTACAAATTAATTGCAAATACAAAATTTCATAAAACTCTTCATTGTTATTCATCTTGAAACTTTTGACATGAAATAAGAATCCAAATGTTTCTTAAAATTTTTCAAATGTTGGAACCATTCATCAATAGACATTATTGAATTACAAACAGAACATTACAGAATACAATTAAAATATACAGAATATTTAAGTAACAAATTTCTAACATCATATTTTTGTAATAAATGTTTCTTTAAAAAAATATATTTTTTAAACATTGTTTAATTAAATAAATAAGACAATCTCAAAAAATAAATTTTACCTTCATAAACATTTGGAATTTCATCATCAAAAAGTATCAAAGTTGGAAATTTTGTGATTCCATATTTCTCTGAGGCTTCCTTGTCATCAGTTTTCACAAATATAATATTGTTTTGATCTGCTTCATCATCAATATTTTCCAATTCTCTCAAAACTTTTTCACTTTTTTTGGATTTATCATCTAAAAAAAAAAAACATTTTATCATCAAATAAAATTTTTAACTTTGATTTGATTGAAAGTAATTTGCAAAAAATAATTAAATTTGGCTAAAATCATCACTATTCTGAAATATTTGTTTAAATGTTGTAATAATTTTGTTATAAATTTAGGCAAACACATATACAATTTTGCCAAATAATTAAATTTTAAATTATGGAATATTCATAAATATAAAATTAATAACTATATGTCATTTAATAAAATTTGTGTTATCCAAAACAGTTTAATAAAGACAATGTTATTATTATAAAATTTATTTTATTAGATTTAACAAGAGATGGATGCTTCTTTTTAATGATGAGTCAAAAACATGTTTAAATTTTTTGTTTTTAATTTATTAAAAAAAAATTCCACTAAATATTTTCTATACATTTGTCATCTTACTATAATAAGAAATATAAACAATAAATTGTTTAAAAATAATGAAATTCATGAAATTACATTGTGCAAATATGCACAATGTAAAACAACATATATGCATATTTGATCTCTCTCATCTATTTTGTACACTTAAAATATCACTTTTACTTTCTTGGATCTGTTATATATTAGAGAGGAAAAGTATGGCAATTGGGTAAAACATGACCTCCCAATATTTTTACATTTTTAGACTCAGGGGACCTTGAAACATCAAGAAATGCAAAAAAATTCAAAGTCCAAACCTCGACAAAAACCTTTAATAAGCAGCCTTTTTCATTAACTTTTCAAATGTTTTCAAGCCATTTGAATGAGGTTTGGTTGTTATTTAAGTGCAGTTACAGAAGAGTGTAAAATTCAGGGTTTTTTTTTGTATGCATAGATGTTAGTGTGTCAGGAGGGAGTATGATTTTGTTCACCCTATTTGAAGCTTAATAAATAACTTCTGTATTTTTATAAAAATTTCTGAAATTTTACAGAGAGGTTTATATATTAGGGATTAATGCTATAAAATTTTGGTGGTTAAAGGTCGAAGGGTGAGGAGATAAAAAGTAGTCATGTCATATCTTGAGTAAGGTTGGACTTAATGAAAATTTTACTTGTTATTAGCATTTACAATTTTTATAAAACCCATTCCTACCCTCACAATTAAGCTTTTTGCCATTTTATAATAATTAAAAATACAAAAGGCTTTTAATAAAATATCATAACAGATGGTGCCACACACAGTTTTAAATGTTGATGGAAAAGTTAAGCAACTTCACTGAATTTTTTGAATGATGAACAAATTACTGCTACTCAAAACTGGTTATACTTGAATTAAAAACACTAAAATCTATAATCCAGCAATTTTTATAATAAGTGCAAACATTTTTGCCCATGTTCACTGGACATCATCCAGCTAACTAATCCCCAGTTACGGAAACAATGGGAATTGCCATACACACATTGTGCAGAGTGGAGGTGAGGTGAGATGAGAGAAAGGGGAGGAGAAAGATAGTAAGATTTACAGTTCGAAGAAAGACTTTTATGTTGTGGGGAAGGAGTCAGCATTGCAAAAATTAATAGCAGTGTTATTGCGAGTAGCCTTATATATTTCCAACTGCTCAAGATCTTTGAGAAAGGGTTGCCTGGAAGAGCTATGTAAGAGGCATGTCTTGTCAAATTCCATAACAATGTCAGTGTCGGAGGTGTAGATAGCCAATGCCATATTGGCCAGTCCTTTCATGATGGACGTCTGATGTTCTTTAAGGCTAGTGCTTAAAGGGCACATTGTAGCACCTATGTATTCTAAGTGGCAGCTAGATCTATATATGATCTTTGACAGGGATAGTATAGATCCTGGTTGGAGGTGCATGTCTGGACAGAGCATTGCAGAGAAGGAAGTAAATTGAAGGACTTCTATGAAAGGGTAAACAAAAGTTTATTTTTCTTGGATACTTCCCTGTAAAGGGAGGCTAGCTTCCTGTTGTAGTGACGGTCCTATAAACTGTGTACAGAGCACCTTCTCGAAACCTTCTCGTTGGCACCTTTATTAAATTGGCGCCTATGACGGGGACCACATTGGCCATACCCTATTCTATTCTATTCTAATAAAAGACAAGAGGGGCTATCTGCAATTTAGTGCAAACTTTACCCCTGTATGAATAGGAAGGAAGAGTAAAAGAAAGTAAGAGTTAGAGAGCAGAGGAAATAAAGGAAGATAGGAAAGTGTGAAATAAGCAACCATAAGGCCCCCACAGGACCCCATGGGCGCCCGCATCGCCTTTATTAAAACAATATTTACAGAGGAATACAAATAGTTAACAGTAACATTTTTACATACAGATGCAATTAACATTGGCCATACCCTAGTTACGGCTCTGGTACAGAGTATGATTTATTGGTGAGGAGGAAGTGGCAGAGGAAAGACAATGTATAAGGCCTTTAGTAGTATGTGGGGAGTAGCCATACTGAGTTGCATACTAGGTGATTGTAAGAAGCTCTGTATTTCTGTTATGTGTCCAATGAATGGGTGAAGGTCCTGAACTTGGTCATCTTGAATGTGAAGGGATCATGGAAAGAGGCAAGAATGAAAGTTGGATGGTGTATATGTTTTCTATAAACCTGAGTTATGCTTCCTTTGGATGAGGAAAGCTGGAGATCCAGGAAATGAATAGTTTGATTGTTGTCTTGTTCAAGGCAGAGCCAAAGACCATAAGTGTTGTTATTGATTTTTTTACAGGAATTCTTGGATACAGGATTTGTTCTTCCAGATTATGAGAATATTGTCGCCATACATGCATATAGCAGAATGTGGTTGATGAAGGTGGGAAGGACAGCAGTCTCAAGCTGGAAAATGTTTTTTGTTGGAAATGGCAAAACAATTAATGATTATTTTGCTACTTCATCTTTCTCCAGATTTAATTTTATTTGAGTTTATTTTCCATAAGTATAATATTTTATTTACAGTTTTAAAAAAAAACTGTATTAAAAAAAGGAATTAACTTTTTAATTTTAAGAACACCAGAAATAAATAATAATTAAAATTTAAATATAAAAATTAAATAGCTTATTCTAATAATTTTATATAAATGTTAAAATTAACAAACAATACTTTAATAATTAAAAACAGATTATCTTACAGAAAAGAACTGCAACATGCTCATGTGTATCAATAAGAGTATCAGTCATTTTGTCTGTGACATCTTCAATTTCATCTGAAGTCATTTGTTTAACAAGCCACTTCAAAACCTCATCTTCATTTTTTAAATCTCCTAATATATTTTAAAAGAATCTTATATACTATTTCAATCTTGTTATATATCTCAATAATATAAACCACTATTCAAAAATTATTTCCAATAAATATTTCTAAATGATGATTCTCAAACACATAAATTTAAGTCTGATATAATTTCATAGAAATTATATCAGACCTTATGGTTAGCTTATTACTACTATTAAATAACTACCCACAAATTTATAATATAATGGTAGCATTCTTGAACAATCTAAATTTTGCTGAAATTTTTTCCAATTGAGTGATGTAAATAAGTAATATGTAATGATAATGTACAAGAAAGTAAATTTTTTTATTTTTAAATTAATTAAATTAATTAATTAGTTCTACTTTACAAATTACACATTGATATACCCTGTATCGATGTGTAATTTGTAAAGTAGAACTTAACTAAGTCTACTAGTTGGTCTTTCTTTTATTTGTAAATATAAAAAACATAAAATATATCACATTTATGTAAAAGTAAGGTTCAATGTTGGAATTGTTTATCAAAATTAAAAACTTGCTCCTCAGATGTATGTAAATTTCATATTGGTGAAGCCTACTTTTGAATTCATTGTTGGAAAAGTATATTCTGAGTCTCACTAGTAAATGTGGTATAATTGTAAAACTTAAGGCAGATATATGAAACTGCATTGCTCTTATACATGTGTACACCTTTCAAGTTTGTAAAGAACCTAATGTTGGCTGATGAGGGGAGGTGCCCAAAACGTGTAGTTATACTCGTATCAACTGAATAAAGATGAAAAACACACCAAGTGCTTAAATAGCAGCACGGTTTTGTGTTTGAGAATCATCATTAATTATAATTATTAAATTTAGCAAGTGATGGCACCTAACACCTTTCTCTATTGCCAAATTACATAGCATTTAATTATTAATAATAATAGGAATATAGCCAAAATAATCTGGCAATCATTTGGCCTTAATATATAACTAGTGGGTTATAGCTGTTGATATTGGTTATGACTAATTAAGATTCTTGGAAATGCTATAGAACTAAACAACAACTTCCCAAGAGACATTTCTTAACCTATACATATCATTATTTTTGCTTGATATTTAAATTAATTAAAGTATAAAGCAAGAACAATAAATTACATTTTCAAAATTTATAATTCCATATAATGTATTATAAAAAACTAAAAATTCACAATAATCTTCATTACCTATATTTATCTCACTTATAAGAGACTTAAAAAGTTGTTATTTGTCATTTGTTTATCATTAAAAAAAACAAAATTAGGAATAGTTTCATTAACAAAATGAATCTGTTTCTATTTATAGACTAAAGAAGTAATGAAGATCATTATTTTAATTAAAATAAAAGCAGTTTAATTAGACAAATTTTAAAACTTAAAAATCTGTAACATTTTAACTATTATATTCAGTTCATTTTTATCACCACATTCTAAATGCACATCTCTAAACTAACAAATAATACAGTATTTTTAGAAATATTTAACGAGTCTAAAGGTAAACAAGAAAATATTTTATTAAATTATTCTATACAATATTTTTAATAACAAAGAAAGAAATTATTGTATATCTATTTAACAAATGGATAGTAATTAAAAAAAATTTATTGTCAGATATAAAAATTATTAAAAAATTTTTCTCTCCAATGTCCTTAATATGTATACTTCATTGCTTTATTAGAGACCAAAAAAAAAAGGTAAACTAAGAGAGATTTTCATGTTTTTTTATTCCAAAAAATAAAAAATAATGAATTATTATGTTAAGTTTAAGTTAAAATTTAATAAATCAATATTTTATTACCTTGATAAATAAAAGGAATTTGGTTTTCAAAATATACAAGAATTGGAAGTTCATCATCAATACCGTATTCTCTGGCAACTTCTTCATCATCAATCCTGACAAATAATAAGCCTTTATCATCAGCTTCATCATCAATATTTTCTAATTCCTTTAAAATTTCCTGTGATGTTGGATTATCTTTATCATCTGAAAAATATATTCCAGCTTAAATCTAAAATTTATTTTATATGATATTCAGATCTACTCTAATTTTATAAATAGTTAATAATGATGTAACAAAGATTCAGTTGTCATTTAATACTTGATCTATTGAAAAAAAATGTTCATAACATAATAGCCTAACATTTTTTATTTTATTACTTTGACATTCAATTATTTTAGATGCTACATATTTATTTTTGTATATAACTGTAAAGCAAAGAAATCTTCATTATTAATTCTTTAATTGCTTATTTTACCAAAACTGTAAAAAAAGTTTATGGAAAATCTTGTTTTTAATCTAAATAATTTATTCATTAAATAAATAGCATTTTGAAATCAATATATTTTATTTTAATATTTTCCTGAAAGCAACAAATAGCTTAATATTTAATAAATATCATCATCATCATCCATAATAAGGAAACCTTGTTACAAGGGGGAATTATTCTTAATCTAAAACATTACTGTAAGTGGCCTGATGTTATTAATTAATCTTAACAAGTAAACAATAATATAATTAATCAAATTGTATGACATTATTTAATACATTAACAATTTGAGAAAAAAAGTTAACAATTTTATACATATTTATTCATGATAGATCACTTAAAATAGCTCTATAGTTTATCCCTTTATTTATAGAAATTATTTCTAAAGTTTGAAGTTTTTGTTGATAGTCTTTTAAAGCCATGCAGTCACAGAGTAAGTGAATTGCAGAAAAATTGTTGGAGCCACACCAATAATAAGCTCTTGAAAAATCAATATAGGTATTATTTATTATTAATGAATATTGATTAAGTCTTAACTGAATTAAAATTTGTTTAGCGTTTATAGATGAGTTCATTTTAATAATATTCGATTGTGTGGGAAAATTTAATATATGTAGATACCAAGGTCGATATGTTGAGTTCAGAATTGAATTTTGGTCTTCAATCATTGAATGTAAAAACACTGATTCCATCATCATAGTATAAGCTTGTCTCCAGTTATCCATCAAATTATCAAATAATGTACTTGATATTCCAAATGATTGTAAAACTTTGTTAAACTTATAACACCATGTTGTTTATTAACATTATCATTTTTCATTTGAGTATTCATAACATAAAATAAGAATTTAACATTATCATCTTTTGTATTTAGTAGTCAATAATAAAATTTTATTAATCTTTTCAAAAAGAATGGAAATAGTTGATATCTGTTAGTTTCTGATCGTATAGCATATACTAGAACTGTGTGTTCAAATTTATATAATTTACGTAAGAATATAATATGATATTTTTCCAAATTATAAAATAGATCAATGGCCCAAATTGAACTGGCATAATAATTGAGTTAAACATTCTCATATGCAATTTTAAATTTTAAATTTTTAAACTTGCACTTAAATAAAGAGTATTATTAATTAATTAATTGATTTTTACATTAAGATGTTTCAAATGCATCTGGAATTTACCATTCCAGTTAAAAATCGTACCTAGATATTTTATATTATGAACTAATTCAAAAGGTTGACCATTTAAATAAAAAGCTTTCTCTTGTTAGATAATTTGATATTATTTCTGAAAATAATTATTTTAAATTTAGCAATATTTATTGATAGGAATATAGAGTTCAAGTAATCATTTATTTTAATGAGCTTGTGTTGTAGAGTTATCTTGGTCGCGGCCAATAAAACCAGATCATCCACATATAAAATATAATGAAATGTTCTACCATGTATAAATATATATTTATTCCTTCTGAGTCATTTAAAAACAAGTTGTCAATGTCATTAATATAAAAGTTGAACAGATATGGTAAAAGTGGGTCACCTTGTAAGATTCCTCTATTTATAATTAATTCAAGATGTAATTTATTTCCATATGCAATATTGATTTTGTATGCAGAAAAAAGCTTCATGATTATATCAGCAAATTTATTACCAGCCCTAATATTTTTAATTTATTAACCAGAGCAGGAACATATACAGAATTGAAGGTCTTAGCTATATCAATAAATGCTGCATAAATTTTTCTTAGTTTTTTTATTACATAAGTTTGAATTAATGAAGTTAACAGGAATATGGCCAATTTGGTGCCCTTAGTTTTTACAAATGCAAATTGCTACATTGAATTTAAGTTTTGATTTATAGTCCATTTTTGAAAACATGCTGAAGTATGGATGTGAAACATTTTCTTATAGTAGATAAAAGTGCAATAGTTCGATAATTTTCTGGTTATAGTCTGTTTCCTTTTTTATAAATCATTAATGTGAGATCAGCCAAGGGTATAGGTAGATTCCCTATATCACTTACTGGCCACGATCGTGAGATCGGTTCTCTAAACTTTCATAGGAGAGCGATAACCGCTAGTTGATCCGAACTGCAAAGTTCAGATGCTCGTCAGGACTGACACCAGTTTTTCAATTAAGTTCTGCGGACAAACACGCGTATGAGATCTGATTCGGTCACACAAACACAAGACATTTTTAATTGAAACCAAAATAATAAATTTAATAAAACAAGAAAACAAATCATACAAAATGTGGATAAACGAGAGACAAAACTACTACAAATATTATACACATCGGGAGATCGCTAAGCTTATATTATACCCTATTCGCGATCGAGAGAGAGAGCTCACAAAATTGTTAAAAAACATACAACCTGATTCAGTTGTCGTTCGTCTTCTTCTCTGTAGATAGGTCACTTTGGAGATAAAGTTCATTTACTTCTTTGTATGGGAGATCGATATGTGCACAAATATAAAAGTATCACTTCTACGTGCAGACTCGGGACTTAGTCTATGTGACTCGTTTAAGGGCGTTGGTCATCATGAGGAAAACTGTGTGGAGTTTGACGCTTTCGGGTCGGTCGAAGAACTCCGTCGCTGAACTCCTCAAATTCGGCCAAATTTCCCTTATATCTCAAGAATTTCGACCAATCATCTGCTTGAAATTCGTTCATGTGAACGGATGAAAAGGGGAATCAAGAGGGGTAGATAGTTCCCATCTGAGCGAGATTTTTAACGGATAAGGGAAAAACAAAGGATGTACGGACTTCCCTTAAAGGAAGTTACATCTGTTATCTATCTTTTCCCACATCCAAAACACTAGTTTTCCACAAAAATGAAGTAATATTTTGTGTCAATATTTAAACATATTTAATAAAAATTATTAAATTAGACCCAGGGCCTTTCAGGTCTCACATTAATAACTTAACAGAGTTTCATGATGGTGGGAAGATTAAAGAATCATAAAAATAATTAAATATACCAAGAAGTAAATGCTTCCCAGACAGAGGTAAGAATTTTATAAATTTATTAGTAATTAAATCTGTCCTGGCACTGATTTTATTTTTAATTTTCGAATTGAATATTCCAATTCATCATACGTTAATACTGGGTCCAGAATATCATTCATCTGAGATGTTTGATGTTTAATTAAATAGTAAGTTTTCTATGCTCGAAAATCTGTTGAAATATTGAGACCATATAGAAAAATCTATATCCAGTTGTCAGAGTGAATTTTTCTCAAATTATTAATTGTTGACCAAAATAATTGATTATTTTTATTTATTAACATTCTCTGTTGTAAATTTTTAAAATAATTTGACTTTTTAACTTTTAATAAATTAAAATATGATGTTTTTATTTGTTTATAATATTTAAGTGATTCAGTTGAATTATCTTTTCTAAATTGTATAAAACTTTATTCTTCTGCATTTTTAGTTTATAACAATTCAGATCGAACCATGGCTTCTTAAATTTATGTATTCTATTATATTTTGAATTACATATTTGTATAAATTCTTTGATTACCAATTCAAATCGAAAATAATTTTCAATTCCCACTGGTGGACCATAATTCAATAAATATTTAATTCTTTCACCAATCAAAAGTTGATACTGTTGAAAATTATAATGAATTTGCTGGTGTGATTTTGATTCCTTCTTAATTTGTTAATTTTTTACTATTTGAATTGACATTCTTATAGGGAAATGGTCAAAAAGGTCATTGTTTAATACCTGAATCTCTGTACATAAGTCTGTGAACAACTCAGAACATATTATTAGATCAATTGTTGAACATCCTGCATTAGTTAAGCAGGTAAATTTGGCTAGAAAATCATTTTTTAATCTACTATTCAATATGTATATAGTTGTAATTGATCCATATATTCAAGCAGCTGAATATCTAGTTTGTTATATTTTTTATCTTTTGATTTATGGGTTTTTTTGAATCAATAAATTAGGACCCCTGTATTCTGTATCCATTTGTTGGGCTATTCTGGCATTAAAATCTCCAATTATTATAACATAAGGAGTAAGATTAATCCATTTTTCAATAGTTTTGAATACTTCCTTTAAAATCTGGAGTTGATCCGATGGAATATACACTAATATAATAACAATTAATAACTTTTTTTCAGCAACTGAAAATCTGGACTCATAATTTGAATTAAGGCTGCTATATAATCATCTGCTTTCTGCGAAAACTGTATTTCACCCAATTTTTTTCTTAATAAATAAAGTTAAACCACCAAATGGACGACTGAGGCCATTCGGTTTATGTGCCACCGTTGAAATTATATTAAATTTGTTATTATTTTTTGAAAATCCACCATTTATTGAGGTCAACCGTATTTCCATTAAACCCATAATGTTGGAATCATTTAACATGTATTTAAATTCAATTTTATCAATTTCTTTTCAATAAACCATTACAGTTCCAATTTATTATTTTTAACTGAGGTATATTCTGAGTTTTACTGCTATCAACTTCATTACTTATTATATTCAAAGATTGGGAGTAAATTGAATTATTTATGAAGTATATGCTAAAAAATCCTCTGCATAAACCAATTGTTTTAATAAAAAAACTATAAGTAACTTTTTTCTGTTTAATTAGTAGAAAATCATCTCGTAGTTTAACTTGTACATTACGACTCTTTAAATCAATATAATAAGGTANTTGCCTGGAAGAGCTATGTAAGAGGCATGTCTTGTCAAATTCCATAACAATGTCAGTGTCGGAGGTGTAGATAGCCAATGCCATATTGGCCAGTCCTTTCATGATGGACGTCTGATGTTCTTTAAGGCTAGTGCTTAAAGGGCACATTGTAGCACCTATGTATTCTAAGTGGCAGCTAGATCTATATATGATCTTTGACAGGGATAGTATAGATCCTGGTTGGAGGTGCATGTCTGGACAGAGCATTGCAGAGAAGGAAGTAAATTGAAGGACTTCTATGAAAGGGTAAACAAAAGTTTATTTTTCTTGGATACTTCCCTGTAAAGGGAGGCTAGCTTCCTGTTGTAGTGACGGTCCTATAAACTGTGTACAGAGCACCTTCTCGAAACCTTCTCGTTGGCACCTTTATTAAATTGGCGCCTATGACGGGGACCACATTGGCCATACCCTATTCTATTCTATTCTAATAAAAGACAAGAGGGGCTATCTGCAATTTAGTGCAAACTTTACCCCTGTATGAATAGGAAGGAAGAGTAAAAGAAAGTAAGAGTTAGAGAGCAGAGGAAATAAAGGAAGATAGGAAAGTGTGAAATAAGCAACCATAAGGCCCCCACAGGACCCCATGGGCGCCCGCATCGCCTTTATTAAAACAATATTTACAGAGGAATACAAATAGTTAACAGTAACATTTTTACATACAGATGCAATTAACATTGGCCATACCCTAGTTACGGCTCTGGTACAGAGTATGATTTATTGGTGAGGAGGAAGTGGCAGAGGAAAGACAATGTATAAGGCCTTTAGTAGTATGTGGGGAGTAGCCATACTGAGTTGCATACTAGGTGATTGTAAGAAGCTCTGTATTTCTGTTATGTGTCCAATGAATGGGTGAAGGTCCTGAACTTGGTCATCTTGAATGTGAAGGGATCATGGAAAGAGGCAAGAATGAAAGTTGGATGGTGTATATGTTTTCTATAAACCTGAGTTATGCTTCCTTTGGATGAGGAAAGCTGGAGATCCAGGAAATGAATAGTTTGATTGTTGTCTTGTTCAAGGCAGAGCCAAAGACCATAAGTGTTGTTATTGATTTTTTTACAGGAATTCTTGGATACAGGATTTGTTCTTCCAGATTATGAGAATATTGTCGCCATACATGCATATAGCAGAATGTGGTTGATGAAGGTGGGAAGGACAGCAGTCTCAAGCTGGAAAATGTTTTTTGTTGGAAATGGCAAAACAATTAATGATTATTTTGCTACTTCATCTTTCTCCAGATTTAATTTTATTTGAGTTTATTTTCCATAAGTATAATATTTTATTTACAGTTTTAAAAAAAAACTGTATTAAAAAAAGGAATTAACTTTTTAATTTTAAGAACACCAGAAATAAATAATAATTAAAATTTAAATATAAAAATTAAATAGCTTATTCTAATAATTTTATATAAATGTTAAAATTAACAAACAATACTTTAATAATTAAAAACAGATTATCTTACAGAAAAGAACTGCAACATGCTCATGTGTATCAATAAGAGTATCAGTCATTTTGTCTGTGACATCTTCAATTTCATCTGAAGTCATTTGTTTAACAAGCCACTTCAAAACCTCATCTTCATTTTTTAAATCTCCTAATATATTTTAAAAGAATCTTATATACTATTTCAATCTTGTTATATATCTCAATAATATAAACCACTATTCAAAAATTATTTCCAATAAATATTTCTAAATGATGATTCTCAAACACATAAATTTAAGTCTGATATAATTTCATAGAAATTATATCAGACCTTATGGTTAGCTTATTACTACTATTAAATAACTACCCACAAATTTATAATATAATGGTAGCATTCTTGAACAATCTAAATTTTGCTGAAATTTTTTCCAATTGAGTGATGTAAATAAGTAATATGTAATGATAATGTACAAGAAAGTAAATTTTTTTATTTTTAAATTAATTAAATTAATTAATTAGTTCTACTTTACAAATTACACATTGATATACCCTGTATCGATGTGTAATTTGTAAAGTAGAACTTAACTAAGTCTACTAGTTGGTCTTTCTTTTATTTGTAAATATAAAAAACATAAAATATATCACATTTATGTAAAAGTAAGGTTCAATGTTGGAATTGTTTATCAAAATTAAAAACTTGCTCCTCAGATGTATGTAAATTTCATATTGGTGAAGCCTACTTTTGAATTCATTGTTGGAAAAGTATATTCTGAGTCTCACTAGTAAATGTGGTATAATTGTAAAACTTAAGGCAGATATATGAAACTGCATTGCTCTTATACATGTGTACACCTTTCAAGTTTGTAAAGAACCTAATGTTGGCTGATGAGGGGAGGTGCCCAAAACGTGTAGTTATACTCGTATCAACTGAATAAAGATGAAAAACACACCAAGTGCTTAAATAGCAGCACGGTTTTGTGTTTGAGAATCATCATTAATTATAATTATTAAATTTAGCAAGTGATGGCACCTAACACCTTTCTCTATTGCCAAATTACATAGCATTTAATTATTAATAATAATAGGAATATAGCCAAAATAATCTGGCAATCATTTGGCCTTAATATATAACTAGTGGGTTATAGCTGTTGATATTGGTTATGACTAATTAAGATTCTTGGAAATGCTATAGAACTAAACAACAACTTCCCAAGAGACATTTCTTAACCTATACATATCATTATTTTTGCTTGATATTTAAATTAATTAAAGTATAAAGCAAGAACAATAAATTACATTTTCAAAATTTATAATTCCATATAATGTATTATAAAAAACTAAAAATTCACAATAATCTTCATTACCTATATTTATCTCACTTATAAGAGACTTAAAAAGTTGTTATTTGTCATTTGTTTATCATTAAAAAAAACAAAATTAGGAATAGTTTCATTAACAAAATGAATCTGTTTCTATTTATAGACTAAAGAAGTAATGAAGATCATTATTTTAATTAAAATAAAAGCAGTTTAATTAGACAAATTTTAAAACTTAAAAATCTGTAACATTTTAACTATTATATTCAGTTCATTTTTATCACCACATTCTAAATGCACATCTCTAAACTAACAAATAATACAGTATTTTTAGAAATATTTAACGAGTCTAAAGGTAAACAAGAAAATATTTTATTAAATTATTCTATACAATATTTTTAATAACAAAGAAAGAAATTATTGTATATCTATTTAACAAATGGATAGTAATTAAAAAAAATTTATTGTCAGATATAAAAATTATTAAAAAATTTTTCTCTCCAATGTCCTTAATATGTATACTTCATTGCTTTATTAGAGACCAAAAAAAAAAGGTAAACTAAGAGAGATTTTCATGTTTTTTTATTCCAAAAAATAAAAAATAATGAATTATTATGTTAAGTTTAAGTTAAAATTTAATAAATCAATATTTTATTACCTTGATAAATAAAAGGAATTTGGTTTTCAAAATATACAAGAATTGGAAGTTCATCATCAATACCGTATTCTCTGGCAACTTCTTCATCATCAATCCTGACAAATAATAAGCCTTTATCATCAGCTTCATCATCAATATTTTCTAATTCCTTTAAAATTTCCTGTGATGTTGGATTATCTTTATCATCTGAAAAATATATTCCAGCTTAAATCTAAAATTTATTTTATATGATATTCAGATCTACTCTAATTTTATAAATAGTTAATAATGATGTAACAAAGATTCAGTTGTCATTTAATACTTGATCTATTGAAAAAAAATGTTCATAACATAATAGCCTAACATTTTTTATTTTATTACTTTGACATTCAATTATTTTAGATGCTACATATTTATTTTTGTATATAACTGTAAAGCAAAGAAATCTTCATTATTAATTCTTTAATTGCTTATTTTACCAAAACTGTAAAAAAAGTTTATGGAAAATCTTGTTTTTAATCTAAATAATTTATTCATTAAATAAATAGCATTTTGAAATCAATATATTTTATTTTAATATTTTCCTGAAAGCAACAAATAGCTTAATATTTAATAAATATCATCATCATCATCCATAATAAGGAAACCTTGTTACAAGGGGGAATTATTCTTAATCTAAAACATTACTGTAAGTGGCCTGATGTTATTAATTAATCTTAACAAGTAAACAATAATATAATTAATCAAATTGTATGACATTATTTAATACATTAACAATTTGAGAAAAAAAGTTAACAATTTTATACATATTTATTCATGATAGATCACTTAAAATAGCTCTATAGTTTATCCCTTTATTTATAGAAATTATTTCTAAAGTTTGAAGTTTTTGTTGATAGTCTTTTAAAGCCATGCAGTCACAGAGTAAGTGAATTGCAGAAAAATTGTTGGAGCCACACCAATAATAAGCTCTTGAAAAATCAATATAGGTATTATTTATTATTAATGAATATTGATTAAGTCTTAACTGAATTAAAATTTGTTTAGCGTTTATAGATGAGTTCATTTTAATAATATTCGATTGTGTGGGAAAATTTAATATATGTAGATACCAAGGTCGATATGTTGAGTTCAGAATTGAATTTTGGTCTTCAATCATTGAATGTAAAAACACTGATTCCATCATCATAGTATAAGCTTGTCTCCAGTTATCCATCAAATTATCAAATAATGTACTTGATATTCCAAATGATTGTAAAACTTTGTTAAACTTATAACACCATGTTGTTTATTAACATTATCATTTTTCATTTGAGTATTCATAACATAAAATAAGAATTTAACATTATCATCTTTTGTATTTAGTAGTCAATAATAAAATTTTATTAATCTTTTCAAAAAGAATGGAAATAGTTGATATCTGTTAGTTTCTGATCGTATAGCATATACTAGAACTGTGTGTTCAAATTTATATAATTTACGTAAGAATATAATATGATATTTTTCCAAATTATAAAATAGATCAATGGCCCAAATTGAACTGGCATAATAATTGAGTTAAACATTCTCATATGCAATTTTAAATTTTAAATTTTTAAACTTGCACTTAAATAAAGAGTATTATTAATTAATTAATTGATTTTTACATTAAGATGTTTCAAATGCATCTGGAATTTACCATTCCAGTTAAAAATCGTACCTAGATATTTTATATTATGAACTAATTCAAAAGGTTGACCATTTAAATAAAAAGCTTTCTCTTGTTAGATAATTTGATATTATTTCTGAAAATAATTATTTTAAATTTAGCAATATTTATTGATAGGAATATAGAGTTCAAGTAATCATTTATTTTAATGAGCTTGTGTTGTAGAGTTATCTTGGTCGCGGCCAATAAAACCAGATCATCCACATATAAAATATAATGAAATGTTCTACCATGTATAAATATATATTTATTCCTTCTGAGTCATTTAAAAACAAGTTGTCAATGTCATTAATATAAAAGTTGAACAGATATGGTAAAAGTGGGTCACCTTGTAAGATTCCTCTATTTATAATTAATTCAAGATGTAATTTATTTCCATATGCAATATTGATTTTGTATGCAGAAAAAAGCTTCATGATTATATCAGCAAATTTATTACCAGCCCTAATATTTTTAATTTATTAACCAGAGCAGGAACATATACAGAATTGAAGGTCTTAGCTATATCAATAAATGCTGCATAAATTTTTCTTAGTTTTTTTATTACATAAGTTTGAATTAATGAAGTTAACAGGAATATGGCCAATTTGGTGCCCTTAGTTTTTACAAATGCAAATTGCTACATTGAATTTAAGTTTTGATTTATAGTCCATTTTTGAAAACATGCTGAAGTATGGATGTGAAACATTTTCTTATAGTAGATAAAAGTGCAATAGTTCGATAATTTTCTGGTTATAGTCTGTTTCCTTTTTTATAAATCATTAATGTGAGATCAGCCAAGGGTATAGGTAGATTCCCTATATCACTTACTGGCCACGATCGTGAGATCGGTTCTCTAAACTTTCATAGGAGAGCGATAACCGCTAGTTGATCCGAACTGCAAAGTTCAGATGCTCGTCAGGACTGACACCAGTTTTTCAATTAAGTTCTGCGGACAAACACGCGTATGAGATCTGATTCGGTCACACAAACACAAGACATTTTTAATTGAAACCAAAATAATAAATTTAATAAAACAAGAAAACAAATCATACAAAATGTGGATAAACGAGAGACAAAACTACTACAAATATTATACACATCGGGAGATCGCTAAGCTTATATTATACCCTATTCGCGATCGAGAGAGAGAGCTCACAAAATTGTTAAAAAACATACAACCTGATTCAGTTGTCGTTCGTCTTCTTCTCTGTAGATAGGTCACTTTGGAGATAAAGTTCATTTACTTCTTTGTATGGGAGATCGATATGTGCACAAATATAAAAGTATCACTTCTACGTGCAGACTCGGGACTTAGTCTATGTGACTCGTTTAAGGGCGTTGGTCATCATGAGGAAAACTGTGTGGAGTTTGACGCTTTCGGGTCGGTCGAAGAACTCCGTCGCTGAACTCCTCAAATTCGGCCAAATTTCCCTTATATCTCAAGAATTTCGACCAATCATCTGCTTGAAATTCGTTCATGTGAACGGATGAAAAGGGGAATCAAGAGGGGTAGATAGTTCCCATCTGAGCGAGATTTTTAACGGATAAGGGAAAAACAAAGGATGTACGGACTTCCCTTAAAGGAAGTTACATCTGTTATCTATCTTTTCCCACATCCAAAACACTAGTTTTCCACAAAAATGAAGTAATATTTTGTGTCAATATTTAAACATATTTAATAAAAATTATTAAATTAGACCCAGGGCCTTTCAGGTCTCACATTAATAACTTAACAGAGTTTCATGATGGTGGGAAGATTAAAGAATCATAAAAATAATTAAATATACCAAGAAGTAAATGCTTCCCAGACAGAGGTAAGAATTTTATAAATTTATTAGTAATTAAATCTGTCCTGGCACTGATTTTATTTTTAATTTTCGAATTGAATATTCCAATTCATCATACGTTAATACTGGGTCCAGAATATCATTCATCTGAGATGTTTGATGTTTAAATATTAAGTTTTCTATGCTCGAAAATCTGTTGAAATATTGAGACCATATAGAAAAATCTATATCCAGTTGTCAGAGTGAATTTTTCTCAAATTATTAATTGTTGACCAAAATAATTGATTATTTTTATTTATTAACATTCTCTGTTGTAAATTTTTAAAATAATTTGACTTTTTAACTTTTAATAAATTAAAATATGATGTTTTTATTTGTTTATAATATTTAAGTGATTCAGTTGAATTATCTTTTCTAAATTGTATAAAACTTTATTCTTCTGCATTTTTAGTTTATAACAATTCAGATCGAACCATGGCTTCTTAAATTTATGTATTCTATTATATTTTGAATTACATATTTGTATAAATTCTTTGATTACCAATTCAAATCGAAAATAATTTTCAATTCCCACTGGTGGACCATAATTCAATAAATATTTAATTCTTTCACCAATCAAAAGTTGATACTGTTGAAAATTATAATGAATTTGCTGGTGTGATTTTGATTCCTTCTTAATTTGTTAATTTTTTACTATTTGAATTGACATTCTTATAGGGAAATGGTCAAAAAGGTCATTGTTTAATACCTGAATCTCTGTACATAAGTCTGTGAACAACTCAGAACATATTATTAGATCAATTGTTGAACATCCTGCATTAGTTAAGCAGGTAAATTTGGCTAGAAAATCATTTTTTAATCTACTATTCAATATGTATATAGTTGTAATTGATCCATATATTCAAGCAGCTGAATATCTAGTTTGTTATATTTTTTATCTTTTGATTTATGGGTTTTTTTGAATCAATAAATTAGGACCCCTGTATTCTGTATCCATTTGTTGGGCTATTCTGGCATTAAAATCTCCAATTATTATAACATAAGGAGTAAGATTAATCCATTTTTCAATAGTTTTGAATACTTCCTTTAAAATCTGGAGTTGATCTGGTGGAATATACACTACTATAATAACAATTAATCTTTTTTTCAGCAACTGGAAATCTAAACTCATAATTTGAATTAAGGCTGCTATATAATTATCTGTTTTTTGCAAAAACTTTATTTCACCCATTTTTTTCTTAACAAATAAAGTTAAACCACCAAATGGACAACCGGGGACAATTGGTTTATGCGCCGCTGTCAAAATTATATTAAATTCATTATTATTTTTTGAAAATCCATCATTTATTGAGGTCAACCATGTTTCCGTTAGACCCATTATATCGGAATCATGTAACAGGTATTTAAATTCAATTTTATCAATTTTTTTTAAATAAACCATTATAGTTCCAATTTATTATTTTTAACTGAGGTATATCCTGAGTTTTACTGCTATAAACTTCGTTATTTATTATATTAAAAGATTGGAAGCAAATTGAATTATTTATGAAGTATATTCTAAAAAATCCTCTGCATAAACCAATTGTTTTAATAAAAAACTATAAGTAACTTTTTTCTGTTTAATTAATAGAAAATCATCTCTTAGTTTAACTTGTACATTACAACTCTTTAAATCAATATAATAAGGTAATAAAGCCTTTCTTCTCATTCTAGAACCAATAACCAGATCAGCTGATATATTTAAGTTTTGCCATGGACCCAATAACTTGTTTTTGCTTTCCAAAGGCCAACATAATATTATTACACAATTGAACCGATTTTAAAGTTAAACATTTAATATTAATTTTTGAGTTGGGGAATTTATTAATTAATTTTATATCTTTGTCCATTTTGGAAGAAATTTTCAATGTATGATTCAAAAAATTCAGTATATCTTCATTATTATCAGAAAAAATTTTTGAATAATCATATATTATTAAATTATTATTGTTTAATTTGTTATGCAGTGTGTCAATATTAAATTGAAGTAACTCTTTCTCAATTCTTAGTTTAGTAAGTTCGGATTCAAAGTTTTTCATTACTGACCTTAATAGAGTGAAGATGACCCGTAAAAGCACTTATTTCATTATGGATAGTACTAATTTCTTTACAAATAAGAGTAAATTGATTTTCTATTTTTTCCTTACTTAAAGTAATAAGTTCAACAATCTTCATCCAAAGGACTGTAGTTGTAGGGTCCAAAGATTTCAGATTTGAAGTTACAGACTTAAAATTTAAAGTAAGGTTGTGTAAAGTGAAAACCTTTAAAGTAATTTAAAAGTTTTCACTTACCGAAGTTGTCAGTTTTCCTCTTCGTACTTGAGTATATTCCATAATCAAATTATTTTCATCTTCTAAAGATTTTAAATTAAGTGAAGATTGTGTAATATGGTTGATTAGAGGTCTACCTCTTTTCGTTGAAGATTTTTGGAGAGATCCAAGATTTGGTTCAATTCCAGCCATTAGTAACAATAAGTGAATAATATTTGGATTAAACATTATATAAACGAAAACCAGAAAATCAAAATAAAACAGATAATGTCCTATGAACTCAGGTGTAAGCAAAAAGTCACCGTTTGCCATGACAATCAGAGTGCCCCCGTATTTAATAAATATAAAAATTTAATTTTCACTATAAAACAGTATTTTAAAACAAAAACAACTAAGTTCAGTTCAATTTATTATTAATAAATAAATATTAAATAATTCCTAAGCAATTATTAGCCTTAATTATATACCAAGAATCTTGCAGTTAAGAATTGGCTATTAAAAAATAATGTTTTAGGAAATGCTGTGTTTTTGAATTCTATGAGGATTAAAAGTTCTTTCCTTTTATTCATATCCATCATGGATTATTCAGGGACATAGAAGATAACTAGAGCCATCCATGAAAATTTCTGAATATTCAATTCAGATCCAAACTAAGATCTACCATTAATTAACAGGCTTATAACTTTTCCATGTCGGCTAGTCATTTATCAATGAAATGTTGGTTAAGATTTACTAAATTTTCTAATGGTAACACTGAAAACTGTGAACTGACTTATTGTAAAAAAATCACTTCTCAAAGTTTTTTTTCATAATAAACTATGATCTGAAAATCATCCAAAAGGTTGAGTGCAAGTTATTTTGGCTTAAAGAACAAGATTGTGGAGCCTGTTCTTTTATGTACTTTATATTAAGCTCCTAAAAAGTGCATTAGCTACTTATCTTGCATTATATGAGCCTCTTGTAATACAAGATCTTATTTTATGATGATTCCCCTTTTTGTGATCTTTCTTTGCATATCACTAATTATTATTTATTTTCTTTTCAGAAATTTATATTCAAATATATTCTGTGTTAGCTAATTCTAAATTTTTATTGTCAAAAGACCCATACAAAATGGCTAAGGTTGAATTTGTAATTTTGAATACTTTATTATAACCACAGTATGGAATACATTTTGTGTCAATGTGTGGTTGAAGATGAATGGAATGATGATGACGATGATGATGAAAAACACTGGGAAAAAAGTAGTTTTGGTTTTGACAGAAATGCCTAATGATTCACTTACAGAATGCTTAAATAGTAGCCTGTTGATTCACTTGGTAGTGATGAAATTCAATTCTGGGTTAATACAATCAAAATATATTTTAAATTATTATTTAGAAACAAGAGTGAGAATCAAAACTTCTAAAATTCTATGAATTGGAATTGGAGTCAAGGGTTTGGTCTACTGACTCTGCAGCCTGTTAAAGAGAACTGTCTGCTCTAAACAGCATGAGAAGAAAATAGAATGCTAAATGCTGTAAAGCAGTTTTCTGAAGCCTTACTGTTTGTTTGTTTATTTTTTATTGATTATTATTATTAAAAATTCACAAAGCATTTATCCTTATTATTTCCCTCAATATGGATATTTTCAACAGTGAGCATTGTAAATATTATTATTTACAGATTTATATTTATAAAGCTTTATACTGACAAAATATTAAATAAAGTAAAAAATTTAACAAATTTCTAAACAAATTTGAAAATTATTTAATAAAATAACTTTTTTTATGAATACTTTTTGGTATTAATCTACTACAAATTAAACATATTTACATTTGTGAAAATGTAATCTCATAAAATAGTATAATTTCCAAACATTGGAAAAGATCATCAAATATCAAAAATTTAACCACTATAAATTGTCAAATTTCTTTCCATGATACTATATTATTACTTGAAATTAATAATATAAAATTTAAATAGTTTATTAATTGGAATGTATGAAAAATAAAATTAAATATTTTTTTTAAAAGAAAACAATAATAATAAAATGGCTTACAGAAAAATACAGCTAAATATTCAGTTTTTTCAATCATCTGATCTAAAACTTTATCTGTAATATCTTCTATTTCATCTGCATTTTTCTGATGAATCAGCCATTCCAGAACTTCATCTTCATCTGTTAAGTCACCTATAAAAGATATTGAAATTTTGATTTAAAAAAATGTTTCACATTTTCATTGCTGACAAATTCTATGATTTACTAATCATTAGTATTTTTGAACATACTAAATATAAAACAAGCAATTATTTATTGTGATTTCATCACAATACCAAGCTGTAATTTTTAATCATATTTTCAATTTATTTTATTTAAAATATATGCTCTCCATCTCAAATTAGTAGTGTCTTGCCCTTGTACTGTACATCACACTTTTCATTATAACAACACAGTCATGCCAGTCATCTATGTAATTCTGTTCTGGGAACAATTTTTGAATTAAAATCATGTGACTTTCAGTCTAGACCAAAAATTCATGTACAGTTAATTGGGCTTCCTGCCCCTAAGCTTTCCATATTTGGTCTTGACTTTCATCTATCTAACACTGTTCTAGAGATTAAGGAAGGACAGACAACAGTGGGAATTTATAGGTTTGCAATTTGAAAATTGTAGGACAAACAGCATAAACAGTAAACTATATTGATAGTAATTATTCATTATCATTACTATATGCAAATGTTAATTACTAAATATTTATTAAAAAGAATGACTGATTAAAACATTAAAGAATTATAATTGACATGTTGCCAATAACATTTATTAAATTTTGTTGGAAATGTATCAATTATAATTTTATATTAATAACATGTTATAATGTTAAATTATATTCAATACTGTATATGTTAATGTAATATAAATGTAAATATTTTAAATTTATATTATATTAACACAAATTTAAAACATTACCTTCATAAAAATAGGGTATTTTGTTTTCAAAATAAACAAGCATTGGTAAATCTTCAATCCCGTATTCGTCAGCCACTTTTCTATCGTCAATTTTTACAAATGGAATTTTATTTTCATCAGCATCATCATCAATATTTTCAAGTTCTTTCAAAGCATTCCGGCAATCATCATCATGTTCGTCAACTATAAAAAGTAGAATCTTATAATATAATCAAGATGGGTTGATAATAATGATAATAATAATAAGTGCAAAATCCAAAAGATTAGGAGTTGAAAGTTGAAATTTGGTACACAGTAAGAGTACATCACAAAAATGTACACTAAAAAGGGATTTTTCGAAATTCCCCCTCCCCGCAAAGAAGAGGGAGAGGATTAAGGCTTATCCTAAAGAAATTAGTTTCTACTGTACTATTTTAGATGCAATTTTTTATCTTTAACTGCATTTTAGTAGGGTACATCATGAGAATGCACCGTAATAAGAAATTTTTGGAAATCCCTGCAGGGGAGAGGTAGAGGGTTAAGGATTACCTTGAAGAACTTAGTTTCTATTGTACTATTTTAGATGCGGTTTTTTGCATTTTTGACTGCGTTTTAGTAGGGTATGCCATGAGAATGCACATTAAGAAGGGATTTTTGGAAATTCCACCCCAAGGGAAGAGGAGGAGATAGTTTTAGTCAGTATAAAATGTAAATAATAAAGAAGGAAAGTAAATAGTGGCACATATTGTAAACATTTTGGCAATTAATAAATATTTGAATCATTTCCACTTTTCGGATAACTCAAAAACAATATATTTAAAATAAACGAATTTGAATAAACATTCAAATTCATTCCAAATTCCAAAAATTCAAAATATTGAATTCAAAATATAATAATATCAAAAGCGCTCAGCAACTAAATAATAAGAAACAAAACACCTTTTTTTGCCGAGAAATAAATATAATTCAAAAAAACAAATGTTTTCAGCCTAGTTAATAGGCCATCTTCAGGTCGAAAAAATGGAACGTAAATGTTCCATAAACAGAACATAAAAATAATTNCTGTGCCACTAGGCTATCATCATCAAGGTGTGAGGATAAATATTCGTGCAGCCTTTTTTCTAATATAAAGGTGGGTCCTCTGCATTTCTCTACAACTGACCTTAACTCCATTCCGGTCTTGTGGGTTTTAGCGAAAGCAAACAATCTTGGAGTTCCGGGCCGTGGGTTCCAGCATTTCTTGAGAAAAGGTAAAACAGCAGAAAGTCCCGAGCGCTCCAGCCTCCTGACTCTTCTGTCCAACATTCCAACTATCTTGTTGCCAACAATTTCACATTCCGTCTTTTTGATGTAACTATGCAACTCCTTGTTATAATTATGCCTTCTCATGATAACCAAATGCTTAGTCTTGTCTGCTCTTGTCAACACAAGATCATTAATCCTTAACCACTCCTTCGTGAGCCAAATGTCCCTACTAGTAATACCATCCGTCCTGTTCTTCGGCCGTTTGTTAATGACCGCTTTCCATCTAAAATATTCCTTTTCTAATGCATCCAGTCCAACAATCCCTCTCTCAATCTCCTGTACTGACGTTTCCCAACCACCTACTTCAGTGGGGACAAAGTTCGGGCCTTTCTCCAGAACCTGCTTGATTTTCTTTGGTATTACTATCTGGTCCCATACATAGAAAGTACTAAGGTTCTTCCTATTATCTCTTCTTACTTGCTTATGAATAATCCATTTCAACTTTTTGACATACTGCTTATTGGAACTCCTACAAACAGCTTCCGCCAATTCCACCACCCTTTTATTGATATCAATCAGTTTGGCCGGATCTTCATTATATATGGTGTCCTCCAAGCGAATAAGCTCACTCAATATCCCATACTTTTTGTTTTTTGCTATTCTAATAGACTTTTTGAGGCACGCCATACAGAACCTACTTTTTAGAGAACGGCATTCCTTAGGGATGCTAATTCGGTAAATCGACATGGGATACACCTTATTATT